AACAAATGTCTCAACGACTCTTGAAACAGCATTCAATACAATTTTAAGATGCATTTTGTTTCTAGCTCTCATGAAGGAATGCAGAACGGTTAAAATATGTTATCTTCAAATATTATAGTTGTCAGTGAATTGTAGTTCCAATAAGATAGAGCATTACTAAACATACTTGATTATTATAGGCCTAAAATAATTATGGTAGAGTGGAACTGTAAAAAAGGAAAAAAAAAGTTTAGAAATATTTTATCATGTTTGGAAGAGAGTCTGGTGATTCGAACTCATACTTTGGTCTTACACGTGTCTGAAACTTCTCGCTTTCTCAATGGCTCTCTGTTCTTTTCAGTTTGCTCTTTCGTATACTCTCGACAGCACTTTGCTGTTAAACTTTGGACTTAGTTTTGCTGATATACTCTTGACTGAACAATCATCATATGCTCTGGATGAAACCTTTCATAGGAAAACATCCACTATGGCGCAAGTATCGCGTGTTCCAGCTACCGAATGGACAGAGAACGTCGCATTTGCCCTGAGCCGGTGTCTGCATCCAAAAAAACAAACCACAACCCATTTGTTTCCAGCAGACATTAACAGGACAATGAACTTTAGCAATATTCTAAGGGCATTCTGTCTCTCTCAGCCCAAAACGGAAGACCAAGATGGCGAATGGCTTCCTGGCATATGATCGGGACGAATGAAGTAACCTCGTGAATGTGGCTGCATTGCACAGTGGGGAAGATGGCCTTGCAACAGGTCTATGAGTTCTTTTTTTTCAGCTTCTAAGGAGTGTATCTCACTTTTCAAAGCATTGTTGTTCACTTCTAAGGTTTCAGATTCCTAAAATGCAAGAGAATAATAATTAGAAAAACAGAATCAATTAACAACAACTTCTGTGAAATGCATGGTTTGATAAGAGAAATTATTATAAATGAATCATTCGTTTCATTTTCATTTTCTAATACTAATGTACCACTGAGTTTAAACAGGTTAAAAAGGACTTCAACCTTTTAAAATGAAAAGGAATTTTTTTAAATGATTACCATGCATTTCTCCCCTCTTTTTTACTAGTTTTATCATTTTAAAGTTATTTAATTTCAGAATGACAGTAGAACACAACAAATGAAAGGCAATTAAGGGTAAACTATAAGTAACTATCCCAACATTATTTCTTTAAAAGAAATCTAATTCCAATAAAAATGCTTCAGAATATTTACATTACCAGATCTAGTATGATACCTTCATTTTTACTTTCAACATAACTTAAATCTCGCTCGTTCTTATTGTGGTCTATGTTACTAATTAGGCTTCTAATAATCCATGAACAATTAGACAAGGTGAATTGGCAGCCGACTTGGTAAAATCGTGGACTGAATATCAGTTCGTACAGGCTTCGCTGACGTAGATCGGTTCTTGTATTAGGCTGACATAAAGATCAACAGCCAAAAGGGAAAGATTGGGCGTAACTTTCGCAGAGAATTTGCGAGATTTGTCTTTATAGTATGACGAAATGCATGAATCCACCTTAAAACACAAGGAAGCTACTTCTCTAAACGCAATGAGGAAAGGGAACATTACGCGAATATTTTCACAAATTTTAGAATCCGGTGCTATAAAGCAGGTGGGGCATACACGAGGAAATGCAGTAATACTTGAGAATTATAATAGAAAAATCTTGTTATTTCTGAATATCATTCTGCACAATGATCCACATCCCAGCCAAACGAGAAAAACGGTTTTTACATTGTGGTTCGACAGTTAACATCTTTTCATGCATCTCCAACAAAACATTGATCTCTTCTGGTACCTAGGTGCTAGCGCAGTTACCCACTGGAGACGTACACCAAAAGCACATATTTTTTATATTAAGTACATAAAAATATATAAAATATACTACTTAATTAATACTATACGTTTTTGTATCTTTCTAAAACATCATCAAAAGGAATTAAAAATTTTGAGAATTTTATTACGGAATTTTGAAATACGAAAGGAACTGAAGAGGAAAATTCCTTTACGAAAGCAATAATTATTATATAAATATACTATTTATAATTAATAGATATTTTTTTGACTTTCGAAACTCATGCAAAAGGAATTAAAATTTTGAATTTTATACTGATTTTGAATACGAAAGGAATTAGAAGAGAAATTATTTATGAAGTTAATAATTAATTAGATAAAAATGAATATAATAATAATATTTCAGTTGTTATATTGTTACTATATCTCTGGTTTTATCACAGTCAACCATTCTTTTCAGTCATGCGTACTAGGGGGTTGGAAGGGAAAGGCGGACCTTACCGGATCTCTGGTTTGGGGGGGGGGCTCCAAAGAACCTTAATTTTTTAAGTATATCTACCTATAAGTAGGACTGTAAAAAAAGACTTTGTATTCTGGGAGGATTATTACGCATATATATGCCGTTTGGTGTAAAAAATATATAAGGTATTTTTCCTTCCTTTCTATTTGCCTTCGTGGTGTAACTGGAAGCATGCTCGACGCATATTCGGGAAGTCAGGAGTTCAAATCCCGGCGAGGCTTTGAGGAATTCTTTAGATGGCTGACTTCGAAAAAAATCTACAAGATTCTACAAGTGAATCTCAAAATAAAATGTGGTAGATGATCATTCTTACTGTCAAAATTTGGCGATTACCAAGTGGCCCATGAAAGGGGGGAGTATGTAAGGTATTTTCTCCCTCCTTCTCGCATGCTTTCATGGTAGCTCAAGGAAACTTTTGATGAGAAAGAGGAAAATAAAATCGCACAGAAAGTTAAACGGTTAAGGCGTCATTTTGAAGCAGCAAAAGTTGAAAAGAACGAAACTACTGATGATGTTATTTATTATGTAGACTATGAAGAATTAGCTCCTAAGTTATATTTTGGCACTAAAGATGTTTTTGGCAATGTGTGTTTCGGTTGCTTCTTAGGAGAGAAGCTTTTCAAAGCTGAAATTGGTCAAAAGAAATCTTCGATGAACAATGAGCCATAAAAGGGGGCCTTCATTCAAATAAGGGGGCAACAGAGATATTTTTGCCCCTGACCTCAGTAGCTGTAGGTCAGCCATTGCTTCCCCTCAATAGAGAAATAGATCAAGACGATTAAAGTTAGTGTGAGAATATATGTGTCCGCGCTTTCATGCACTCAAGACAGACCAAAAATGCTTTTTGTCTGATAATTTTTCTAATAATTGACATTACTTTCATTAATAATTCTTAACTAATGTATTAAACAATAGAATGTAATAAGGCAAAATATTTTAACTCGAACTCCTTTGAATTTAAAAATATTTTACTATTTATCAATTAAAAGTTGGATACAAATAAGTAGATTTCAAAGACGTTAAATCCAGAAACTTGAACACAAAATAAATGTATGTAATATAAAAAGATACGTAAATATAAATTAAAATTAATATTAGCAATAGCCTTTTAATGCTTAATTTTTAATTTAAGTATTTTCTCTCTTTATTCTAAAAATAGTAACTTTTTTCTACACTGCGTCATGACTCTTATATAACTCTGGTGATGTAAATGGAACTAAACCTTAAGCAGCCAATAATAGACTTACAGGAGTATTAATTAGCCAATCAAATTCATTGAGAACCGAAACTAACTAATTCTGAATCAAGATTCCATCCTGAACACAATTTGCTTGCTTTCTGCACTTCGGCCTAGCTGGACTGCTGCTTGCTGTTCTCTTATTGCAAAATTATCAAAAATGTAAAGGTTTTGAAATAGGCTCGAGTAGTGCGCCAAGTTATTTGTGGTCGCATCGTGTTTTTTAAAATAAAGATGAATACTTAATCTGCCGCAGCTGCCATTATGGATCAGAATTCTGTACAATCAATATTTCTACCACTTCATTACATATAAGTTCTTATTTCATTATGTGTACATGTAAATTAATAAAGAGATTTTCCATCCCCCAATTATTTTAAAAATACAGTACTTATTTAAAAAATAGTGTATTCTTTAAAATAGCTTTAATAGGCGGGTGAATGTTAGAGAAAGTTGAAACACTCGCTATAGGTTGTTAAATAACGATGTGAATAATTTTGTCAGATGATACCTGGGCTAAACGTCCTGTTCTTTCTTTCTTTTTGTTGCGGCATTTGGTAGCTGCAACTTTATTCCTTTCTCTACGTCTGCGTCGTCTTTCTTCATCTTCTTTTGTCAACTGAAAAGAAGAGAAGCAATAATTTAACTAACACTTACTTAAACAAAAGGCAATTTCATATGCATGAAGTATAAGCTAAACAGCTATAACAGATTTAAAAAATAAAAAACGAAACAAAACAAAAACCTTGCTCATATTCACTTTGACAACCATATTCTAAACCAGGAAATATTGTTAAACAAGAATTACTGTAGTCTGTTTGACCTGTTTAGTAGAAAACGGGGAACATTTTATCTCATTGAAAAGAAAACAGATTGCAGTTTCGAAATTTTCCCCTTCTCCATTCTCTGTAATACATTCAGAAATTCTGTCACCTTTTTCGTAGAACAGAAAAGGATATTCACACATTTTCAAGAAGATTAAGCATGCATTTTTCGAAACACTTGTTTCTTCAATATTTATTTTAAAAATATGCTTTGTTTTGATAGCTTTTATTTATAAATCGTATAATTTCTGAATTAAAAGTTCAATATACCATAAAATAAATTTAAGATTTAATTAAAACATACTCTTTATATACGAATTCTAAATGGAGTTTTTAGCATGCAGTAAATGCCTATGACATGTTTTACCACAGTAGTTAAAGGCTTGTAGAGACATTAGGTAATTTTTGGAAGCAGAAGAGATGAAAAATTAGCAACACCTTCACAGGGAATCGAACCGCGGACCTCTGGAATTCGCGCCCAGTATGCAGACCACCACACCACGAAGGCACGCCAAGAAGGTGGGAGAAATACCTTATAGACTCACCAAACTCTTTTAAGGCGACTGGGGTTTTATTGGAAACAATCGTCCACTCCGGATGAGGAGAATCATCATCCATCACCACTTTTTAGCTCGAGCGCCATTGTACAGACATTAGATATTGTTGGGAAGCAGGTAAGATGAAAAATTGCAACGCCTGCGCCGGAATCGAACCGCACTCTCTGGAAACGCGCCCACGTGCAGACCCCCACAACCACGAGGCCAACCATAAAGGTGGGAAAATACCTTATAAGGCTTTACCATCATAGGAAATTTAAAAAAGGAAACATATTTTACCTCTCTGGGAAACTGCTATGTCTTGCATTAAAAGAAGTGTCATACATCCTTTACCAGGAAAAAGAAAAAAGGGTTGTATTCGCATCTTCAGTTAAGAATTCAGCAATTTAACTGGATACAGCTCTTCCTTTGCCGCCCAAACGGGATATTGGTTAATGACTCTGACTATCGTAATAAAAAGCTCGGGTTCGAATCCCGGAGAAGGCATGAATCTTTGTAAATGTGGCAATGTCTTTTGCGCTGGTGCGTTTCTAAATATATGACTAGCCGAAAATCCTCTCGCGTAGTTTGGTGGTAGGTGAAAAGGAGAGGGAGACCCTCGGACCCATCTCCTGAGGTGCTTACCATCAAAAGTTTCGGTGGAATTGGACAAACTCGTACTGTTACCTATACAGTGCCGTTGTCGTATATGTGACAAAGTCTATACGACCTCTTGCCCGTCGTTGAGAAGAGAGGTGGAGTGTCACCCACCCCTCTTGCCAACGACGGACGTAATTGTGTACTCTTTACTTCAATAAATTTCATGGGCTTGTTCTCATGATGAGGTCAGACAAGTGAAATTAGTCACAACACATAGAACAGCTCTTCCTCAACATTGAGCCAATCAAGGTGTGTTGTCGTCTTGATCTTATAGATCTCTGCATCTGAACCTTTGTGATATTTCTCCAGAAATTCAGTTAAGAAAACATATATTGTCCACAGCTAAACAGTCCACAATGCTAGAATTTCGAGCAAATTGTTGCAGCAGTGCATTTTCTCGAACCAGTATGCACGTCGTATGAAACTATTCTTGTATTATATCTGTTGGCTTACATTAGAGACACTCATAGAGACATAAGAAACTTTCATATATACATACATACATATATACATAAGAAACTTTCATATATACATACATACATATATACATAAGAAACTTTCATATATACATACATACATATATACATAAGAAACTTTCATATATACATACATATACATATATATCCTTTTGTACGGGTGACGTAAGTTATTTTTTTGTATTGCAAGAAATAAGTTTATTAAGTTAGCAAACTTTGCATCTTCTTGTTGAAGTAATCTATGTACATATCCTTGAGAAATCTGTTCGGAAAAGGAAAAGGAGAAATCGGAAAAGGAGAATAAGAAGAAAAATAGAAACCAGGCAAAATAAGAACCCGTTTCTGATCCAAGAGTCAAAAACTGATACCTGATAGTACAATTAATAGTATTAATGCGATAGCGAGGCTCTTTGGAAAGAAATTGTCATGATAATTTGCAGATTATTCAGAATGTGAACTGATGAAAGGATAGATTGAACTTTATTCTTCTAAACTTACGAAACTTTGCCTTAAATGCCTTCTGCAGGTACATGCAGAAACTAGACCAGTACATCTGAAGTACCACAGCTAATGATATAAGCTTCCACTCCACGTTTTGAGGAAGAAGCCCTTGAACCGAGAGGTGGTCCGAGGGTTTCCCACCCCTCTTCTCCTACTATCAACTTCTTGAGAGGATCTCGGCTCTCCGTACATTTTGAGAGCCTCTTTGCTGCACAGAAGCAACATACAAACGTCTATGTATCTCCGGGATTTGAGCCTGGGTCCATCGTTGCGGCAATCATGACTAACCACTATACCGGTTGAGCGGCAAAAACTTTCCACAACAAACATCATTTGGAAATGAGTTACAGTAACTAAGGCCGTCTTAACGCATTCAGCCCTGGATTTTTTGAAATGTGCAAGCGAAAAACAAATCTACAAAATACTGTTTATTGATGTTAGAAGAACTTCCTTGCAACATACTAAGGATTTTTTACTTGATTTATGGAAACTAGGATATCGTGCCAGTTGCCACCATCAGGTCTCAACGTAAACAGTCGAGTGAGAAAACAGATGCGGACAAGCAGCCAACGAGCCCTCTGGCGGGTGACTAGTAAAACATTTTCTACTATCAACCTCAGGTTAAGCATTTAAAATGCTCTTAAGCACTTCAAAGATTTTGGTAACCGCACATTCATTTATTCCTGATCTCCCCCCAATTCTTCTTTCTCGGTCTTGGTTTACCTTCACCATTCCGCGATAGAACCGTAGTAATGGAAACACTTTGTGGTGTCCCCTTTTCTTTCAGATTCCTCTGGCTTTTTCGTGGTGCCGTATTACCTTGATGTCATGATATAGTGCTTATTTTGCTTAATGATAAATACAGCTCTGTCTACTACCGATAAAACAGACTTTATATATGAAGGCAGCATATGACACCAGCAGGGTAGAAAGGGTTAATAGATCATGAGTTCCGAGCCTTTATTATGTTTTAAGCAGAGCTGGATTAACCATAAAATAAGATAATCACTTGCTTAGGGCATCAAGAAAAGGGCTTAGGAAAATGGGCACCACAGAAAATTCCCAAAGTCAGTTTTACTATGGAAATGTCTGGTGCAGTTAAATCAAGATAGAAAGCGAGGTAATGGGGAAAATTACTGGCATAAGGGCCATCAAAATCTTTTAAGTGCATGGGGCCTTAATCTGGCCTTGGTTCTACGGCTTTTACTCACACCGAACCCGTCTAGAATAATAATAAATTTCCCAAAATATGTGTCCCTATAATGAGGTGCTGGATTAAGATTTTTAAAGGCCATAGATTTTGGTGCCCCCACAAACTATACTTACGCTATTTTTTCCCCATTTCTTCTCTCTCGGTCTTGGTCCCTACATGGTGAAACTTGCTGCGAGACATTTTTGTGGTGCCCTCTTCGCTTACCTGAACGTTAAGCTAGCTCTGAACATGATAGCGAGCTCATAAGATGACGCTTCATTCACGTTGGATAGTCAACGTTTTTCAAAAGCAGCCTGGTTATGTCATATATCCCGAGAAAGCAAATCACGCGAGATAATCGCCCTCTAAAAGAGCTTCTCTGTAATTTATCTTTCAACTGATACGACGCTATGGCCTTTGCCTGATCGTTAACTTTGAACTCGTATACCTTCGTATCGAAGCAGAAATAAAAATATTGCTGATTCAAAAAGTATATTCTTTCTTTAATGTTGAAAGCAAAGATGACAGAGATAGCATTTAATGTGTTTTAGCAAGAAGAGGCGTGAGAAAAAATAACGTGATAAGTTATTAAAGTGATGAAACGCAGGAAATTAATATTTCATCTCAAGAAAGATTTTGGATATATATCAATCAATGATCTAGTAACACAATATGTACGATTGAAAGTGTTTAGGTATTGAATTTAGCAATTAGACTAAAGCCTAAAGTTCAGAATAAAGCTAAGCAGCTGACGAGCCAGAAATTTTTTTTTACAAATTGAAAAATATTATTCCCAAAATAAAAAAAATATATCAACGGAATAAAAAATACGTGGAATAAATTTAAAATTTCGCTCATTAAATATTTTTTAAAACATGCATAAATAATAATAATAATGTCGCAAAAAAAGAAAATTCAAACTTTCTTTTATTTTGTACCTAAAATCTAAAATTTAGCATATGAAAAACATTTTTGTTCATTACATTTTGTAATTCGAATATATTCACAGCTAAATATTAAAATTTTAGACTCACATTTATTTCAAATATATTTAATTTATCATTAAATAACGTAAATTTAATTTAAAGTAAAAGATAGTATGAAAACTTTCTTAACCTTTGAAAGAAAAATTTTTCAAGTTGGATAAAATTTGAGAATAAACAATAACAACTTAGTCTTCTTGTTTATTAAATTCCTCTTCGAAGCGTATTAAATATAAATATGATTATATATAAGAAATTATAAAGTTTTTTTTATTCCTTACTAAAGTTTGACGTTTGATTGTGTTTCGATGTTAGCAAAGTTTGCCGTCTTGAAGCGAACTTATTAGAAATTAGCTTCATCAGAGATTTTAGATGCTCCTCGGTTAATAGATTCTTTTCCTTATTAATTTTAAAATGTGAAAAAAATTTATTTAATCTATTTACATA